GGGTAGCATGTGTCAGAATTTTCTTTTTAGAGCTGAATGATGTCCCATTTTATTTATTTATTTATTTATTTTTATTTATTTATTTTTTTTGAGACGGAGTTTCGCCCTTGTTACCCAGGCTGGAGTGCAATGGCGTGGTCTCGGCTCACTGCAACCTCCGCCTCCTGGGTTCAGGCAATTCTCCTGCCTCAGCCTCCTGAGTAGCTGGGATTACAGGCACACGCCACCATGCCCAGCTAATTTTTTGTATTTTTAGTAGAGACGGGGTTTCACCATGTTGACCAGGCTGGTCTCGAACTCCTGACCTCAGGTGATCCGCCTGCCTCGGCCTCTCAAAGTGCTGGGATTACAGGCGTGAGCCACCACGCCCGGCCCCATTTTATTTATAAACCACATTTTCTTTATGCATCCATCCATCAATGGACAGTTGGGTTGTTTCCATCTTTGGGCTCTTGTGAATAACACTACTGTGAGGAAGTCCTTAATTCCTTAGCCCCGAGCCGCTATGTATTACCTGGGTTGGGGATGTAATAAAGTAAAGGTCTAGTCTGTTAGGATTGCATTGGTTGCAAGTAACACACTAACTCAGATTGGTGTGAACAAGAAAAGGACTGTTTTGGCTTGCATCTGGGAAATGTCCCAGATTCAGGCTGGAACCAGGGGTTCAAATGCTACCACGGGGTCTGAGCCCTCCTCTCTCCCTCTGGCACTGCTTTCTTCTGTGTGACAGGTGCTTTCCATGGGAAACTCCTGGTGTAGAGTTCTCCCAGCAGCCATTGAGCAGGCAAAAGCGTCTCTTCCCTAATAGTGCCATCAAAAGTCCCAGAATGGGGTCTCATCAGTCATGTGCCCATCCCTGAATCACTTGTTCATTGGCAGGGCTGTGGTTGGCTGGGCCTGGGAGGGAGACATGCCCACTCCCATCATGAAGACCACAGGAGGGATTTTCCATGGGAAATCAGGATTTTGTTACCAAAAGGAGGGGAAAGGTGCCGGACAAGCAGGAACATGGGCTGACTGCTGTAAGGGGAAGCTAACCTTGCATCCCTAGTGCGTGCCAGGCATTGGCCCCATCTCCATTAGCTATTGTGGCTTGCCCATCAAGGGATATCACTGTACTCATTTTAGAGAGAAGGGTGTGTGGCCGGAGAGGTGAGTGCCTTGTGAGTCTCTCTAGCAGCAGAGTTGGCTCTGGGACCCGGGGTGTGTGCTGTCTCACCAGCCCCCAAACCCAGGACAGGGACAAAGCTCTGCACTAGGACAACTCTCATTAAAAAATTAGATCTCTGCCTAAAAATGCAGACATCACGTTGTGTTCAGGGGCTGATTCCAATAAACCAATTAGGCTTGCTGCAGAGTCCTTGTACTGTACGTTCAGAACTTTAAAAATTGTAAACAAGAGATCAAGGATGAATTGTGTAAGCAGATTTTTTTTTTCCATTTATGGAAGTGTGCTTTTTGTTGGTTTTAAGAAAAAAATCAATTCTTTGACAATTTTTACAATTTTTCCTTGTTTTTCTAATCCCTGTTGACAGTGTCCTTGACAGTCATTCAGACCTTACTTAAGCATCCCCGGTGGCAGGGGCCATTGGTAAGGTAGTTTCCCTTTCTGGGCCTTAGTTTACCCATCTGGAAGGGGCAGCCCTTTGATGAGCTGCATTCTGTCGTCCCCTCCAGCTCTAACTTCCTGTCAGTGGTGCAAAAGGTGCCTTACTGGTGTCCCTGCCCCCCTTTAAGCCATTTCCACACAGCAGCTGGAGGGATATGCGTGGATATTTTTAAACATGTAAACCCTGGATCCTGTCTCACGCCTCCCCCACCCCTTCAGACTCTTCAATAGAATGAAATCCAGACACTTCTCTGTGGCCTGTGAACCCCATCATCAGCTGCTGCCTCCTCCCGCCTCAGCCCCTTCCTCCCGCAGAGCTGTCAGCCGTCATAGTCTCTGTTCCCCACACAGGCGAGCATTTTCCTGCCACCTCATCTTCCTTCCCACTTCTCCTTCTTCCTGTACACCCTTTCCTCAGCTCTCAACGAGCTCCTCACCCTTCACAGTTCTCGGTTCAAAGGTTGCCTCCCCAGATAGGCCTTCCCTTCCAAGACCCCCATATCTAAGTAGCTGGTCCCCCACCTACCTCCCTCATGCAGACTTTGGGGTCCTGCCCAGCAGTTTGCAGGTTTGCTGGTTTATTGCCCGTCTTTCCACGTAACAAGGGCAGGGTCTGAGTCTGCCTTGCTCCCCCTTGTAACTCAGCACCTAACAGAGGGCCTGGCATGCAGTAGGTACTTAATAGATGTTGGAGAGTGAATGAGTGAATGAATGGAAACCATTCAAAATCTCCATGCTGGAGTCCTGATAAAGCAGGGTGGAAAGCTAAGAAACAGATCTGAAGGCTGCTTGTTAAATGAAACTCACCACGACTGTTCAGGATTTTTTTTCATCACAAAGTCGCCTTTCTGAGATGGTAACTGACTCTTACCTCCTAAAGGATGCCTTGCCCTCTTCCCTGGCTCTGTCAGTTACCTAGGATCAGGGAGCACAAACAAGGAAGAAGAGTAGGCTGGATGCCCAAGTCCTTGGTGTCAAAGTACCCTGTTTTTATGAGCAGGGTTGGGGTAGGCATTGGGCGTTCTCAGAGCAAGGTGCTGAGATTTCATGAACGTTTTCTCCTTCCCTGGCAAGGTGCTCAGAGTTTTGCCTCTTGTGATAATCACAACTCTGTATGCTTTATGACCCCATTTGAACAGATAAAAAAGCTGGGGCTCCAGGAGTTAGGAAATTGTATGAGTCCAGAGCTTCTTGACTCTAGAATAGAAGATTCCCCCTGTCTGCTATGTTTTGAAATAAAATCCATGTTGAGCTTGACGAGGCCATGCCTGGCGAGCTCCTTAGCTTGGCATTCAAGGTTACCTCCAATCTTGTCCTGATTTTATCTTCACATTTTTTCATCTCTTCTCACCTGGAGAATCTTCCCCTGTAAATCCTTGATGTTCACACTGGTGTCTGGCCCCAGCCCCTAAAGTTGCACCATATTTTTCTGTTTAGAATGTGAATGTTCTCCCGAGAACTCATTTGAAAAGATACTCTGGCTAAAACCACTGTGGAGGCTGCTGCCAGGTATAATGTGACTCCACCCTGAGCTGGTCTTTGTTCCACCCTCATTCCCCTCCACCCGCAGCCACTGCCTTCCTCCCCTGCTGTCTAAATCCTACATGTCCATCAGGATACACTGTGGTGACTCAAGGCTTCAGAAATCTCTCTCCTGCCCCCTTCCTGTATCAACCTGGACTGGATTTCGTGGGTCAGAAACCCAACTTGAACTGGCTGCAAAACTTGTTCAAGAGAGTGGATGTGGCCCAAGATGTAATTATTGGCCCAGGAAACTGTACAGTCCAGGAATAAATTTAGCTTCAGGCAGAGCTGGATGTTAAGCTTAGACTGTGTCATTGGGATGGTGGCTCCTTTCTCAGGCAGGCTCCCCTGCACCCCTCAGTGAGAATAGGTGGCCCCCAGCAGCTCCACATCCTGACAGCCTGGCAATCTCAGGAGGAAAGCTTGGTTTTCTTGAGAGTTGGAACAAAAGTCCCAGGGCGGGCTGGGGGCTCACTCCTGTAATCCCAGCACTTTGGGATGCTGAGGCAGGGAGATCATTGAGGTCAGGAGTTCGAGACTAGCCTGACCAACATGGCAAAACCTGGTCTCTACTAAAAATATAAAAATTTGCTGAGCATGGTGGCACTCACCTGTAATCCTAGCTACTTGGGAGGCTGAAGCACGAGAATCTCTTGAACCCAGGAGGCGGAGGTTGCAGTGAGCCGAGATCATCCCACTGGACTCCAGCCTGGCCTGGAGCAAGACTCCATCTCCAAAAAAAAAAAAAAAAAGTCCCAGGTCGGACTCCTACTAGCTCTGATTGGCCCAGCTCAAGTCACATTTTCTCCCTACAACCAATCACCATGAACGGAGAATGTATCCCCTCTGTATCCAAGGGAGTGAGCTGAAGGTAGGGAAAGAGGATCCCAGGAGTCAGTCGTCTTCTCTTATGTATGCATTGTCTCTCCTGCTAACTCTCAGCTCGTGGAGGACAGGGACCTTCCCTGCGAACCCCAGGGCTTCTAACAGCACTGAGTGTCCTGTATTTCTGTGACATTTCTGTTTCCAAACAGCTTTCACATATGCATGTATTTCAATTGTCACAACTACCCTATAGCAACAGATAGTTATGCAGCCCAGGAAATGGGTCATAGGTATGCTGACCCCTTAGCTCTTAGATGTCCACCTGGTGTGTCCAGGGCCACCGAAGGCCCCAGCCAGGCACCCCTGACCTCTAATAGTCACCTCAGTTTGCCCGGATTTGTTATCAGTGTCTTGTTTTCTGTGTGTGCTGTGACGTGTGACAAAGAGTGGAAGTGCAGCCCAATGGTTTATAAAATGGTCCTTTGTCCTTAATTTCATCAGCGCCCCACATCTATCCTGGGAGGCAGAGGAAGCAGGTGCTGTTAGCCCCATTCACAAGAGAAACTGGGACTCGGGGAAAAAATAACTTGGCCCAGGTCCTCGTTGGTGGAGACAGCATGATGGACTGGCCTGTGGAAAATATAAGATGGCCAAGAGCTGCACGTCTTTGTGACATCTCCTGATGAAAGTCAAGGTTTTAGGAATGACTGGCAAGATAGCCAGCCTGTGACTTGCTGAATTGACCTGGTAGTGAGAAATCCTGGCAGTGCTGAAAATGGTAGCTTCTCCCGAGCTGACACGGTGCCATTGCATCCCCATACTTCTTGTCATTCATCCTTTGCACAACTCTGTTGGGGGTTATTATACACATTTTATCGAGGAGGGAGTTGAGGCTTACAGCAAGCAACTTGTCCAGCCAGTCACTGGCAGATCTAAGGCTGAAACCCACATCTTTCTGACTCTGAGTCTTGTGCTCCCCCTGGTTCCCAAGAGTGGGAGGCTGCCTTGATGTTTACACCTATCTCCTCTGTTGCTCCCGCAGGTCTACATCATCCGGGTCACGTGGTCCAGTGGCTCCACTGAGGCCATTTACCGGCGCTACAGCAAGTTCTTTGACCTCCAGGTAAGGATTTGAAGTCTCTGGTGAGCTGCATGGTGGGAAAGAGTTTAATTGGACATATGTTCTTCTACAGCTTTAGAGTCCAGAATTTTTTTATTTCCCAGACTTAAAAATGACATCCATGGCCGGGCGCTGTGGTTCATGCCTATAATCCCAGCACTTTGGGAAGCCAAGATGGGTGGATCACTTGAGCTTAGGAGTTCTAGACCAGTCTGGCCAACATGGTGAAATGCCATTTCCACTAAAAATACAAAATTAGCCAAGCGTGGTAGTGCATGCCTGTAATCCCAGCTACTAGGGAGGCTGAGGCAGGAGAATCACTTGAACCTGGGAGGCAAAGGTTGCAGTGAGCTGAGATCATGCCATTGCACTCCAGTCTGGGCAACAAGAACAAAACCCTGTCTCAAAAAAAAAGAAAGAAAATGACATCCATTACTTTTGGGACACAAATAATGTGCTTTGTTGCTTTATGCTTTGATATTTCATATTTCCCCCAAAAGAGAAAACGTACCTGTTGACTGCTCCAGAATGGAGGGGAATCTGGAAATCATTTCCAAATGGCTTTGGCATGCAGCGTTTGAACTTAAGTTTTGAATGATAATCGTGTTTGCTGGTGAGCTGGGTTTGTTGAATGCATCTATACTTTCGGGATTGTTCAGCTCTGAAGACAGACCTGAATCTCCTGCTTCACCTTGGCTTCTCCCCGCAGGGCTTTGCCCTCCCTACGCGCTCCTGTGCCTTCCTGGCTCACTCATGGTTCAGGTAACCCTTACTGCCCTTCAGGACTCTTACCCCCTGGGAAGCCTTCCCTGACTTTGTTCTCTGGCCAGTGAGGGCCACCCGTTCTGTCTCCTACAGCTCTGTGCGTCTCGCTGTATTGAAGCTGTCCGCTTGTCTGTCTCCTCGCCTAGACTATGACTTATCGTAACCACATCTTTCTCTTCCTCTGTGTCCTTAATAATTTATTCAAGGCCTAACACACAGCATGTGTCCAGTCAGTGTTTGGTGAATGAATGAATGAATGAACGAATGAACACCATATACACCACCAGGCTTTAAGGGAGCCAGGCAGAAGGTGAACAGCTTGGTATAAGCCCATCCCTACTAGGGTAAAACAAGTCTAACCGATGGGTCAGTAGTTTTTTCTTGACGTCACTAACAGCAAGTAACACAGCAAGTGTGAGAAGTACTCATGGTTCCTCCTGGTAGCATATAATGGAGTTCTTTAGAAAGCCCTCCGGAGGCGTTGGGAACTTGCCTGGCTTTCTGAACATGTGTCTTCTCCCAGCCTCCTGGTGAAGGGCCGTGTCACCTCTCAGACCAACACGCCTCTCCATCCTGAGATGACAAGCTTCTTTTCAGGCAGAATGGTTCTGTTACAAGTGACAGAAACCCAACTCAAGCCCATTGAAGTAAACAGGAGGTTTTTTGGCAGGTGGAACTGAACGTCCTAGGAGAATAAGTCTCCCAGGCTTCAGGCACATCTTAATCCAAGGTTTTTGTGGTGTCACCTAATCTGGCTTCTTCCTCTTATTTCAATTCCTAACATCCATGGTGTTGGCTTTATCCTCGAATCCCACATGATTGCGCAATGATACAGCAGCTCTGGGCTCACACTCACCAGGAAAGGGTCAAAGTCACTTGTCAGAAGTCCCAGCAAACACATTATTGTGTGTCATAGGCTCAACTCAATGCCAATCAACATGAGTGAGAAATGTGCCAGCCAATGGGCTTGCCGCAGTCCCTGCTCCACCCCAGAAGTCAATAAGGGTGGAGACTGAGACTCAGAGAGATGTAGTTTCACAAACTGCTGTGATCAGAGGTGAAGTTGACACTTCTGGCCGCCTGTGCCCTTTGTACATCATCCTGTCTTTTCGCCTCACAGGTTCTCTCAGAAGGTTGGCATCCTTCATTATTCCGACCTAATCTGCTCCTGACAGTGTGGAATAGAGAATTTTCAGAGCTTGTATTTCATTATTTTGTAGGGGGAGGGGAAATAATGTGTTCCTAACTGGTTTCCCAAAACGCCTACATAACAAACTGCCAAGACTCATTGCATAATATAAAGCAAGTGAGACACCAGTTACCCAATTATTTAAAATGTAATGAACTCATCAGTGATGTTTTGTGTTCAGTATGCAATAATATCAAACAGAATTATAAACAAATTATATTTTTGCTTCTGCTCTGCAGCAAACAGAATGTAAATAAACAAAGCAGCTCTATGTTAAAGATGCCAAGATACCATCTAAAGTGAACTTGACAGGAGCGAACCTGGGGCAGGCGAAGAAAGATCTAAAGCCCCGGGGCAGAGGAAGGGAGGGTCACAGTGGTGATTTGAATGAGATACAAATGGAGGACCCTCCACATTCTTTACCTAGATCTATGGTGATTTATGCAGATTTATTATAGTAGATCTTCAAAGAGTGAGTATTGGGTAAACATTTTTGCAAGTTGCTGGACTGACTTTTCCTGCAGTGAGGGTCTAGATAGGGAGGGCTACCTGTATTTTGCTTTCAGGCCTCTTGCGTGCCTGACACCTCCAAGGAGCAGAAGAGAAGGTAGGAAACAATGACACATGATTGTTATCCTAGGAATTATTTACATCCACAGAGCAAAGCCCACTAAGCTAGCTTAGGCACAAAGAGAGGGGTGGGGTTGGACATATGGGAAGAGGCAGGCGTGTTCCCTGAAACTCAGAGCAGAAAATGCAGCCAGCCTTGCAAGGGCCAGGAACCAGCTGGCAGTTCCCGGGCCATCTGTCCTTGTGGCCTCAGGATCTCCCATCAAGCCTGTTCTGGACTACTTCCTCCAGTTGCCCACTTGCCTACATCCCCCAGGAGCATCTGCCAGTGAGCACCTTCCATCCTAAGTTGCAGTGATCTTCCCTGTTGTCAAAGCACTAGCGTTTCTGGATGCTGATTCCAGTCTCCAGCAGGGAGAATCTGACTGTCCCAAGCGTCCTGGATCATAGTTCACTGCCGAGCCTGTCAGCTGTTGCCGGGGAGGTGGGGATGTGGAGTCATCTGGAAAAGATCTGATGAGAAGCTGCATGGGAAGGGGGCCCTAGAACTGCTTATGTAAATGTTGTTCATCGCTGACATGTCGAGGCCTGTGGACCAGGCTCGGTGCAAGGTGGACTGGGTTCTGTGAGTTTCCTATTCCAGCATAGCCTAAGGCTTAAGACCTTGGCTTTCAGTCAAACAGACCTGGATGCAAATCTCAGCTTTGCCTGTTTAGGGCTCTGCTTGGGGCCACCTCTGTATGTTTCTGAGCCTCAGCCTCCTCATCTGCATAGTAGAAATGAAAGTGCCTTCCTCATGCATTTTCGTGCCAGTTAAGCAGGACGCGCCTGGCTCAGTAAGCATGTTGTCAGCTGTCCTCTGCACGGGTGTGACTTGCCCAAGCTGATATCCTTTGGGAATACTTGAGCCAGGGTTTGATCACGGGTCTTCCTGGCCCAAAGCCAATGCTCCTTCCACTCTCCTGTTCTGACTCAACTTTCCTAATTCTACCAGAACTTTAAGGCTCTCCTCCATGCTTAGCATAATGGGTAATAACTGGAGGGTGGCCGCATCAGCCTTCCCTCCTGTAACAAAGTTGTCTAAGGCAGGGCTGCTCCAGAGTCACAGATGGGGGGCTGCAGTGGGAAAGTCATGGAATTCCAGAGGGTCCTGCTCATCCTTGGAAGCATCCTGGAACTGGCCTCCTCCTCCCCCACACACCCCAGCGGGGAAAGCTGGAAGAGGTTAGCACAGGATCACACCAGCCCTCGCCGGCCCGCAACACCCTGGAGTTAGATGATTTCATGATTCCACCCTCCCCTCCCTCCTGTCTGGCAAGCAGCCTTGGTTTTTTCAGAAGTAACTTGGCCCAAACAGGGTGGGGAGAGCCAAGCCTTGGTGGAGGAGCAGCAAGGCCAGTGCGGCGTAATGGAAAAAGCAGAGGACTCAGTCAGGAGACCTGGGGCCCAGCCACCCACCAGCTGTGTGGCCTTGGGAACACCCGTTAACCCCTCTGTGCCCAAGAGCCCTCATTGGTGACATGGGTTGATAACAATAGAAACAGCTGGCATTTCTGGAGCACTGAATGTGGGCCCCATCCTGCTAAACATCTAGATGTAGTGACTCATTCAGTCCTCCAGACAAGCTTATCCAGTTACACAAATGAAGAAACCCAGGCTCAGAGAGGTTAAGTCACTTGCCTGAAGTCACACAGCTAGTGAGCCTCAGAGTTCAGATTGGAAACTGGGCAATCGACCCCAGTATCCACACTTTTAGCTGCTCTGCTGGCTGGGGCTCCTCTCTGTAGTGGCTACTTCACAAGGTTCTTATGAGTTAAAATTATCATCTGTGTCCAGAAGAGGCAAATTCATAGACAGAAAGCAGGTTCCTGGTTGCCAGATGCTAGGGGAAAATGGGGAGGTACTGGTAATGGGTACTGGGTATCTTTTAGGGGTGATAAAGATGTTCTAGAATTGTTTAGTGGTCACGGAGGCATAACCTTATGAATATACTGAAAATCACTGCATTGTACACTTTAAAAGGGTGACTTTTATGATATGTTAAGTATATTTTAGGGTTTTTAAAAAGGGATGGTGAGTGCCAGAGCAGTTTGTAGGCTGTCGAGCACCAAGCAGATGTCAGCTCCTAGGATTATTGATGGGCATGGGTGCTGCCAGGACTTGGTATTAAGATTAAAGGAGGAGACGATACCAGTCAATAGAGTGCTGAAGATCCTGGGCTTTCAGATTAAAGAGGGCTAGGCTTTGGGAGCCCAAGGAGGCAGGGAAGTTTGAAGCGCAAGTTTCAGATCCAGCCATACCTGGGCTTGAATCCGGGCCATGCTGCTTTCCGGGCATGTGACTCTGCCTTTCTGAGCTTCAGTTTCCTCATCTGCGAAATGGATACAATACTGACCTCATGCTCGTGAGGACTGAAGGAGATGGCATATAAGATGAGCATCTGGCACCTTCCAGTTAATGACTGCTGATATTGTTACAT